ATCGCTGGTATCCTCCCGTGTAAAAACTGAGAGGAAGTATGTGTTAAAAATTTTACACATTTTCCTTATCCCCTGTCAGTGAGCTGACCGAGGAACTTTTGAGTGGGCCTATCTTGTCCCTGATCTTACCTTCTGTATACCTGAAAGAATCCTTTTGGGTTAGTCTTCGATTCTCTTGCAACTTTAACCTCATAATCTCTTTTTGCTTTTCTAATTCCCTTTTTTATTTCTCTCTTTAACTGAATATATCGATTTCTCAATTGCCCCTTCCTCTTTTGATTTGCCTATATATGCCTCTCTTTGACCAATCAGATATTTTATCTATTGTTCTCCAATTTAGGATCATTTTTTTTTGATCTGATTTCCCTATTTGGAACATTTAAATTTTACTGAGGGAGCATGAATATGCCCTGGAAAGCATCATATCGGCAACCCTCACCACCTACCTGACCCTTAGTCAGGTCATTCAAGTTCAGCCCACCTAAGTAATTTTTCAGTCCTATGAAATCGCCAAGCGAAAAATCTGGGACGGAGATTGATTGCCCTTATTAGGGGAATTCCATGATATATTAAAAACTGAGTGATTTGTGATCACTTTCCCCAAGCTCATCATTAACCCCAAGATATTAATTAGTGTTTCCCCATGGCAAGAACCAAATCAAGGAGGTTATTTCCCCTAGTTGGCTCTGTCACAAACTGTTTTAAAAAAAAAAATCCTGGATCGTATCAAGAAAGTCACCTGACTCAAAATTTTCCCGTAAAATTGCTCCAGTCAATCGTTATATTAAAAATTCCCCCATACAAAACTTTTCGATGTAGATGCCTTACGAATTTGTCCCATGAAGTTTACTGCACTCCCTATCAAGATTTGGGGCCGAAAATACACCCCAAAATTAGTTTTTTCGGCCCTCGAAAGCTGTAACAAACAATTCAGGGCTACGCTTTAATTTAAATTTTTGTCAAAACCAACAATTTAAATTGTCTCTACATCATCCTACTCCACCCCCCTTTCCTTTTGGGCCCTGTCAGTGTGGAATATTTATAGCCTTGATGGACATTCAGAGGGCATCTCCATTTTCAATGAGCCCGGTCTTGTTTAGCAATAATATCTATGTTTCTGCACTTGCAAATTTAAACTTAGCTCATCTATCTTTTTCTTACACTCCGCTATTGTATAGTAAACCTTAAGGAGCAGTCCCCTTGTGCCCTCTGCGTCCCCCTTTTTTTGCTGACCCGATTATTGTCTTTATTTTTAATTCATGCTGAATGCCTTTTTTAATTTACGTTTCCAACCCAAGTGTTGCAACCTGTTGTTTCCCACACACACCCAAACCCCCATCTTCCCCCTCATATTTCGGGCAAATTTTGGTGCTGAGAATCTATCAAAAGATTTGGGGTTATACCTTACATCAGTTTTCTTAAGGGGGCTAGCAAAGATTTTGGGCGACAAATAAAAATAATCGACTCAAACCATTGAGCCCCTTTAAAAACGTTGTCTTTCTACTGAAATTATAAAGAGAATTACAGGCTGTCTGTTTGTGATTTTGATTGGTTTTATTTCACGAAAACTTTAGTATCCATAATAAAACACCATAGTAATTTTTTAAAATTGGTGTAGATTTAATTAGGGGGAGATTAAAACATTTAAAAAAAGTAGGACTTAATACACGTCTTGGGGAGTGCCAAGTTACATTTTCTTAGTTTGTTTTGTATCCCAAAAACGATGCAGATGAGTTTGTTAGGGAAATAAACAAGAATCCACCGTGAAAGTAAATCACCAATATCCATTTTAACTACTTGAAACAAAGCAACATTTGCAAAATCAAAAGCCTTGTTTATATTGAGACGCCGTGTATTGTTGACTTCTGTCACTATGTTGCAACACAGCTTAATACATAGTTTGGTACCAATCCTTTCATCGTTCACTACCTGTGTAAGACACATCATGCTGGTCAGGTTTGCGTATTGGTACAATAATCTATTAGTCCACGAGGAAGGTACCTGAGCCGTAGTTCTAACAGTGGGTTACCAGGTACACGCCTTAGTAATCTAAGTGGCATAGGTGATACCGTCCTCTTCATGGGCAATAGCTTTGCCCTTGGTGAGGGCAGCATCATATGCGGTATATTGGGTATCACACAATTTGCTTGGAGTAAATTGGACAAAACTTCGTCCGTTTTACTTTCAAAGTTCTCCCTTATATGTAATAGTGACATGTATTAGCTGGAGACTTGTGCCCAATTCTTGATTAACTCGTTTGCTTTGTGTACTGAATTTGGGTAAACAACCTGTCAACTCATTTCCAATTATTTTACAGCTTTTCATGCTTTGCTCAGGGGAATGTGTTGAGTGAGTCAACTCACTCGACACAGTCATTTTGTCTAAGCTTAGTTATTCTTTCTCTTATTAGCGCCAAGAGAGACTTTAATAATTTTAGCATAAGGGGAGTCCTGAGGCTCATATAACCTTTACCAGTTTGATTAGTTATTGACTTGAGGTCTTCCAGTATGAGGATGTCATAATATTAATGCTGTTCCGTTGATTGAGTTTTCCTGTCTATCGTTTTAGTTGACTCGTTAATTTAAAAATAATAGGTATATTGTACGCAGGTTTATAATTCTTGAACCTGTGGAAGATGGGTTCTATATAGTCTCTTGTCCTTGATTAAGTACCAGGCGAGTACGTACGTACGTACAAACACGCACACGCACGCATGCACACACGGAACAATCTGGAGAGTGATATAGTGGAGGCAGGATCCATACACAGCTTCAAGAAGAGGACGATAAAACTCTTGAAACAGGGAGAGAGTGGACCTAATAGTGATCAGCGAAGTGGCGGGGCCAGGAGCTGTGAATCGACCCCTGCAACCACAAACAAGTGAGTACACACACACACACATCCAACAATGTTAAACTTCAACACCTACCAACTCTCCCACCCCATAATCAACAACACCTACACGAATAAGACACATGTGCAACATTCTGGTATAAGACACATGTGCAACACTTAGGTATAAGTCGCATGTGCAGCACTGGTATAAGACACATGTGCAACACTTAGGTATAAGACGCATATGCAACACTTAGGTATAAGACGCATGTGCAACACTCTGGTATCTGTATTACGAAGACGCTCCACCAACCAGAAGCTTCGAAGAATAGACTCAGGAGTTGAACATGTGTAAGTTGCAAGTTTGCTTGATTGATGAGGGCGGGAGACTGCAGGAAAAGGACGGATGGTTTTTATTTGCAACTACACCTGTGAGTCTCTCTGTTCTTCTTTTATTTTCCTTTGAGTTCTTAGTTTTATTATGCAAGCTAAGAGTTACTTTATTACCTACGTTCAAAAGCCATTAAGTAGTAGTATCTTCGTAGTCTCTCTCTCTCTCTCTCTCTCTTTATATATATATATATATATAAAATATATATATTATATATATATATATATATATATATATTTTTCAACACACCGGCAGTATCCCACCGAGGCGGGGTAGCCCAAAAGAAAAAAGGAAAGCTTCTCCTTTTACATTTAGTAATATATACAGGAGAAGAGGTTACTAGCTCCTTGCTCCCGGCATTTTAGTCGCCTCTTACAACACGCATGGCTTACGGAGGAAGAATTCTGTTCCACTTCCCCATGGAGATAAGAGGAAATAAACAAGAACAAGAACTAGTAAGAAAATAGAAGAAAACCCAGAGGTGTGTGTATATATATGCTTGTACATGTATGTGTAGTGTGACCTAAGTGTAATTAGAAGTAGCAAGACGTACCTGAAATCTTATATGTTTATGAGACAAAAATGGACACCAGCAATCCTACCATCATGTAAAACAATTACAGGCTTTCGTTTTACACTCACTTGGCAGGACGGCAGTACCTCCCTGGGTGGTTGCTGTCTACCAACCTACTACCTACAATATATATATATATATATTATATTATATATAATATATATATATATTATATATATATATATATATATATATATGCAAGGAATTCGCGAGAGTAGGCGAAATATACACAAACACTGATCTCTGGCTGAAGGAGACTCGAACCTACGAACCTTAGGACAAGGTAACGCGACGGGCTGGAGTTTTGAGACTCTATGACCGCGGGTTCAATCCCGGCCGGGGTATGGTTTCTTTACCAATCTACCCACACTGGACAAAATACTTTGGCGTGTAGCTTGCGCTACACGTTTGATCCAAGGCAGCCAGCTTTCAGGGAGAAGGCTTACAGCTTTTCATCTCATCCCCTGCATGCATCAGCCTTACTAGAGATTTTAACAATGCAAGGAATTCGCGAGAGCAGGCGAAATATACGCAAACACTGATCTCTGGCTGAAGGAGACTCGAACCTACGAACCTTAGGACAAGGTACGCAGTGCTTTACCAATCTACCCACACTGGACAAATCTCTAGTAAGGCTGATGCATGCAGGGGATGAGATGAAAAGCTGTAAGCCTTCTCCCTGAAAGCTGGCTGCCTTGGATCAAACGTGTAGCGCATGCTACACACCAAGGTATTTTGTCCGGTGTGGGTAGATTGGTAAAGCACTGCGTACCTTGTCCTAAGGTTCGTAGGTTCGAGTCTCCTTCAGCCAGAGATCAGTGTTTATATATTATATATATATATATATATAATATATAATATTATATATATATATATATATTATATATATATATATATATATATGTTGTGTGTGTGCGCGCGCACAAAACAACCACTGCTCTAGGCCTCTCATGTTGCAATCATTACATCAGGAGCTTGCAATGGAAATTATTAGTAATGCTAGTATCATGTCCATTATCGATTCTCAGGAAATTATGTACCGTAATTAATTTTTAACAAGTGTTTCAGGTATAGTAAGGAGGAGATGAAATAATTTGTTTTCCTGGAAACATTTCCTCTTAAGAGGGAACTTCTGGAACTCTGTTTTCATATACTTTTACCTTAATTAATGTGTATGTACCTGGTTGACCTGTGTGTCAGGTCAGTGTGACGTGGCTCTGGGTATGCAGTCTGGCGTTATCCCTGACGAACACGTCTCCGCCTCCTCCTACTTCGACGCCGCCGTCAACGCCATCTATGGGAGGTGAGTGTAACCTACACTATCAACACTGTTAGTAACTGTGTGTGGGAGTGCCATGTCTTGGTTAGTACCGTCAACGCCATCTATGGGAGGTGGTGTAACTTTCATTGTCAACACTATTAGTTGATGTGTTGGGGTGCCATGTCTTGGTTAGTACCGTCAACGCCATCTATGGGAGGTGAGTGTAACCTACACTATCAACACTGTTAGTAACTGTGTGTGGGAGTGCCATGCCTTGGTTAATACCGTCAACGCCATCTATGGGAGGTGAGTGTAACTTTCATTGTCAACACTATTAGTTGATGTGTGTGGGAGTGCCATGTCTTGGTTAGTACCGTCAACGCCATCTATGGGAGGTGAGTGTAACCTACACTATCAACACTGTTAGTAACTGTGTGTGGGAGTGCAATGTCTTGGTTAGTAACGTCAACGCCATCTATGGAAGGTGAGTGTAACTGTTCTGTCAACATTGCTTGTAGCTATGCACAGGCTCACATCTTAAGAGTAAATGTGTATTGCTCTCGATGTCCTCGGAATTACAACACTCTCCCAGTTGAAGTGTAAACACATTCATTTACGCTACTCCTCCATACTTATCCACTGAAGAGGATCGAAATATACAGCTTCCGTTACCACCTGTAATAAACTATCATTATGATAAGGAAGATTAAGTTCATGTAAATTTTTACAAGATTTGATTAGGATACAAAGTTACTTATTGTCTATGTGGAGGTCGGAACGACCTCCACATAGGAACGACCCCTCGCCCTCTAGGTTTATCAGACAGTACCACTCACGCTTTGACTGAGGATGAACTTGTGTACCCAGACAGCAGACACTCCACTGCCGATATAAACTCCATCATTGGTTACTTCAGTACACTGTCATCATTACCTTTATAATTAAGAGTCTGTATATCAAAATGTCTCCTAATTGTTAATTACCATTATCTAATTGCAACACAGCTTGCATATTTTCTCCTAAAACGCTACCAATCACAGCTGCTGCGCGACTACGTGTGTGTAGAACTCATCCTATAGTCCGGTAATCTGCTTCGTTCTAAGTTATAATGGTGGAATGTTTATCTCCCTCTCCACACATTTAACACTACGATTCCTATTTTTGGAGTCGCTACACCAAGCTGTCACATATACATGTAACGTAAACGAATCCTGGCCACCACCGACTCTGCAGTCTCATCCTCTTACCATAAACAAACATATATCTAACAATTCAACTACATTGTAATGCTGTACAGATTCGCTGCTCACCAACACATTTCTCTTATTAGACTCATCCTCAGGTTTTTTAACTTGAAATTTATATATGATGAAAATTACACCCACAAAAAAATTCGGCTTATTCGGCAGCTTCATAAAAAAAACATGGCATAAAAATGCTATGGTGTTGTTACGGTCAGCGCCATCTATGGGCGGCGAGATGAATCATCCACGGTTGCCAAAATAAAATTTTCCAACTGTGACTTTCCTTTTACGTTCTCAGATAATTTAGAATGAAACTTAAAAGATTAAAAGTTTAGGATTATTTTTTTCAGTATTGTTTAGTAGGTATGAAATTACTTGATAAGTTTCCTTCGGAAAGAAGAAAAAATAATGGAGAGTGAGAAATAATTGAAGATTCGTACCTTCCTGCCCCCTACCCCTTAAGGTTCTCTTTAAGGGGAAAGGGATGTCTTGATGCTGGTGTAAGGCTCTTAATCCAAGTAACCGGAAGCACCCTCCTAATCCTCGGATCAAATCACTCCTTATGTTCTGTATATAAGGCCGGTGCTACTGCACGTTTTTTTCGCACCGGTCAGAAATACAGTTCCGTAATTTAACAACGTACGTTTAAACGAGAAAAAGTCAACCTATTTCTTAACGGAAAAATTAACGGACGGAGGGTCGAGCCTCCACCACTCCTTACACCGAATGACCCACCAGAGTGTAGCGCTTCACGACATGGAGTCCGACGCGGCAGTGTAAACACTACAGATCTTTAACTTCCTGTGGTCAAATATCCCAAAATCTAAATAATATCGGGGGATACACCAGTCAGTTGTATTGCAGTTTATCGTCTCGTATAAGGCAATAAGAAGGTCAAGAATCTCCACTTAACTGATAATAAAACTCCAGAGACTAATGGTGGTGGTTCACGTGGAGACTAAACTGCTTGCGCATGATGTAATTGCCATTTTGACAGCATGCAAATGAGGCATTAATTTGACAGATATGATCTTTACACAGCATAAAGTTCAGTAACCATCTGCGTATGTTTGACTTACTATATGATTTGCTTGTGTATTTGTATGTGTGTGTGTGTTGGTGTGTATTTTAGTCAACAGTTGTCAGTGGCTTTTGTCAATAGACACTATGCCAGTTTTCTCTCTGTGTGTGTACACTTATATGTTACTCAGGGATAGGTCTTTACGGGTGTCGACTCAGCTCCTGGTCCAGTTTCTTGAACTACACTTAGTGCCATGACTAACTCCTCGGCTGTCAGAAAGACATTCACGGAGCCTAAAGCTTCCAAAACATCTCATTCCCAGGTCGTTTCCTGTGTCCATTCCAGAGCTCACGTGGAGGTGGCTGGAGGTGCTTGGTGCCCCCGTCAGATCATCTACAAGGAGGGCGTGGAGTACCTGGAGGTGTATCTGGGGGAGGAACACGTCGTCACTAAGGTGGAGGTGCAGGGCAGGTTCGGTAATGGCCAGGGCAAGGAATATGCTGAGAGTACGGGTTTACAGTACTGGAGACCTGGACAAGACCACTGGATCACCTACGTCGATGGTCAAGGGACCGAGGTGGGTTGACGACCACCTGACTTGGGGTAGAGTGGCGAGTTACAAGTTAAAACGTCTTTGAGGATAATTAAGTAAATGGTTTTGGTCACCTTAAGTGAATCATTGATTAACACACACACACACACACACACACACACACACACACACACACACACACACACACACACACACACACACACACACACACACATTATAAAATTAATATAAATTATAATATATATTATTATATATATATATATATATATGTATATATATAAAAATAATATATATAAATATATATATATATATATATATATATATATATATATATATATATATATATATTCTTTCTTTCAACACACCGGCCGTATCCCACCAAGGCAGGGTGGCCCAAAAAGAAAAACGAAGTTTCTCCCTTTTTAAAATTTAGTAATTTATACGGGAGAAAGGGTTACTAGCCCCTTGCTCCCGGCATTTTTTGTCGCCTCTTACAACACGCATGGCTTACGGAGGAAGAATTTTGTTCCACTTCCCCCCTGGAGAATATATATATATATATATATATATATATATATATATATATATATATTTTATAAATTATATATATATATATAATATATATATATTATTATTATTTGGCAAACAGAAATTTATGCGATTTGATCTTTAAAGGTATCTTATTTTCAAATGTTAGGAAGAGTAGTATACATTATTAGTGACCCTTGAGAGACCCCTCTTGTTATCCACGTCCATCCTGATGCTTCCTCCAATTCTGTCATTCTCTTCTGTGGATCTATCTCTGGTGATGGTCTGTGTTAAATGTTGTCTTGCAGTCTGTTTATTTGGACGTCATTAGTGTCCTTCATTGTGTCTTACTGCAGTTCAAAGAACTGCAGAAGGTTTGTAAGACTGCTAAGCTGACTGCCACAAATCCGCTTCCTCTCCAGGTGTTCCAATACCCTTGTCTTGACAGTTGTTTTCCATGACTTTAGGCGGGATTATAAATGTCATATAATACTGAACTGTATTTTAATATCTTTTGTCTGTTCCTTGCCCCCGAGATGTCCTGTTTTAAGCGACTTGACGATGTTTGATGACGACTTGCACAGTAGTTTTGTTCATTCCTTTAATTTCCAATGGAAAATATTGTCTGGTTCCATGTCTATTTGTTTCAGATTTCATTTGGTATCTTTTTCACTTCCTCTTTTGTTGTGAACGGTGGTTGCCTTCTGGTGTGGGTTGATCTGTTCAGGTTTCCATGTTCCCTGGAATCGTATCTTCTTCTGTGGCTGCCTTTCTGAGTATACCTTCCTCAGTCTTATCGCCTGGTCATATCTTGTTCCTCTGTGGCTGCCTTTTTTTTCAGTCTTATCGCTTGGTCAATAGTTAATCAACTTTTTTTAGGTGAAGCAATTGTGTTATGTTTTGGTATTTTCTGGTGCATTATTTTAAGTTTATTTTCCAGATTCATAATGTTAATGTTTACATTTGCAATGAGATCTTCTGCTTGTCTCCATGTTGTCTTCGGTGCTCTATATTTTCACCTTCCTTTTGCTTTCATTGTTCTGGTCTTCGCGGACGTTGTTGAACCAGACTCCTTGCATTTAATTTTCTTCTCCACATACCCTTCCTAAATCTTTCAGTGATCATTTATCACTTAAGTGGTAATTAAGAACGTATAGTGTTAAAAAAAACTGGCTCGTCCCAGCCTCTCAATCTTGTTGCCTATTATGTGTTAGCTAAGAAAAATATTACCGTATTTTCCAGCATATAAGACGCGCGAGTGTAGGCTGCTCACTAGCACGATGTTACCAAGCAGTTGTAACGTTAGTAAACAATTCTAAAGTGTAACCCATACCCTTCCCTTGACGCTGATCTTGAGCTTAAAAGACTCAGGCTGATTTCCCAAGACTTTTTGTGGTAAAAGCGCGCTTTATATAGGCTTTCGCTCTGTTTCCCCTTGTTGGTGCGACATCAGTTTTCCCATCACTCTATCTTTGATTAAAATCTAAAGTATTGGTTCTTTTTTGCATATGTGTTTTCTCAGCTGTCTGAAAAGATTCTTAATGATGTTCGGATGTGTACTCTACAGCGTACTGCACTTTCGGCTTCCATTTTTTACAGACGTTAAGCAGACATCCTAGTCTGCACGCAGCAGATCGGACAATTGTAAATAGAAAGCTGTATGTTCCCCCTGGTTACATTTTATGGAGGTTTAGTTCCTGGGCTTTCTGTGTATCCATTTGCTATTGCACTAATGTCCATAGGATGGATGTGGAGTACACAGTCGACTAACCATAACCATCTACAGGATGGATATGAGGTACACTATGAACTAACCACTACTGTCCACAGGATGGAGATTGGGAGCACAAACTAGCCACTACCATCCATAGGATGGATGAGGTGTACAATAAACTAACCACTACCGTCCACAGGATGGAGATAGGATGCACAATAAACTAACCACTACCGTCCACAGGATGGATATAAGGTGCACTAAAAACTAACCACTTTGGCGAAAAAATCTAAAAATCTTTCTTTTTTTCTTTTCTGTTACAATCTTGGAGTTCTAACCATTAATGATCCCACTACGACATCTTTGAATACCCCCATGTTCCAGTTTTTTCTTCCCACAGGCCACAGTCTCTCCACTGGATCGCATCAGGGCCACTCCTTCGTATGTGTGTGAACTCTTCGTGTACTCGCTTAGTTATGGAGGCAGAGAGTATAAAGAGTACAATACACAAATAACTGACTGGAACAATACACAAATAACTGACTGGAACAATACACAAATAACTGACTGGAACAATACACAAAATAACTGACTGGAACAATACACAAAATAACTGACTGGAACAATACACAAAATAACTGACTGGAACAATACACAAAATAACTGACTGGAACAATACACAAAATAACTGACTGGAACAATACACAAAATAACTGACTGGAGCAATACACAAAATAACTGACTGGAACAATACACAAAATAACTGACTGGAACAATACACAAAATAACTGACTGGAACAATACACAAAATAACTGACTGGAACAATACACAAAATAACTGACTGGAACAATACACAAAATAACTGACTGGAACAATACACAAAATAACTGACTGGAACAATACACAAAATAACTGACTGGAACAATACACAAAATAACTGACTGGAACAATACACAAAATAACTGACTGGAACAATACACAAAATAACTGACTGGAACAATACACAAATAACTGACTGGAACAATACACAAATAACTGACTGGAACAATACACAAAATAACTGACTGGAACAATACACAAAATAACTGACTGGAACAATACACAAAATAACTGACTGGAACAATACACAAAATAACTGACTGGAACAATACACAAAATAACTGACTGGAACAATACACAAAATAACTGACTGGAACAATACACAAAATAACTGACTGGAACAATACACAAAATAACTGACTGGAACAATACACAAAATAACTGACTGGAACAATACACAAAATAACTGACTGGAACAATACACAAAATAACTGACTGGAACAATGCACAAAATAACTGACTGGAACAATACACAAAATAACTGACTGGAACAATACACAAAATAACACATGCAAATGTATATACTCTTAGAATATTTTTACTGATTATTTTTAGTGGCGACGGTCCCAGGACCAAAACGTGCATGATAAAGATGTCCTTGTTATGTACACTTGTTTATTAGAAAGCTTTTCAGTTCTGGTACCTTGATCAGAAGTGATCAAAGTCCCAGAACCGAAATGTTTTCTAATACATATTCACTTGTTATTAACTAGTTATACAAGCCTAGTTGTTCTCCTTGATGGGGTCGATATACTATGTATTCATAGCCAAATCTCCTATCTTCTAGTGAATGTTTTATACTAAGTTTTGACTTCAGGGGCACTATCGTACCTACCCTAGTGACTATGTATGATGTATGTACATGCCTCATTGTTACCTAGATGTGTTTGCAAGGGTAAGTCATAGCTCCTGGACTAGCCTCGTTATACTTAAAGAATGGCTTGACTGATTACCGGAGTACAGAGTTAGGTTATGCTTACTCTTGATACTGTGTATATCATTTACGTCTTGCACCTATCTATATATACTCACCTGTATGTGGTTGCAGGGGTCGGGTCGAAGCTCCTGGGCCCGCTTCTTCGTTGGTTGCTAGAGCAACCAGGTACAATACGACTTCAAGAGCCGTATTGTACCTCTTCTTAAATTATGTATTGATCTCTCTTCTACCACTTCACTCTCCACAACTTTAAGGCTGAAAAAATACTTCCTAAAATCCGTATGTTTATATGTGTGTGTCACCTTTTTTTCTCATTCACATCCTCCCCTATTCCACCTTCCCCCCCAATTCTACATCTTCTGTTGCTAGAACTAGTTGTACCCAAAACAGCTGGAAACATTGACCTGTAACAGCATTACATGCCTGAAACAGCTGGACGTGTTGGCCATAAGAGAATTTCGAATACCATTAAAGCTACTGGAACTTAAATCTCTCCATAAAAATGCATTCGGCTGATACCGCTTCTTTTTTGTTTCGTGGCATCTGTCTCCTTCCTCCTCACCATCTTTTCTTTCTCGTTTTCCTCCTTCTCTAACCTCTTTTCCTGCTCCGCTTTAAGCAGGACTGAAAGCAGTAGAATGCATTTATGTGGTCTGGCAAATACTATCGAGTGAGTCTGGTGTTGCAGTTCGCCCTGGTATGTTGGCTTTTTTGTCTGTCGTCGACTTTATGTGTGGCTGCTGTGGGCTGTCATTCTCTCCCTACTGCTTATCTCTCTCTTTCTTTCTCTCTCTCTCTTTCTCTTTCTCTCTCTCTCTCTCTCTTTCTCTCTCTCTCTCTCTCTTCTCTCTCTCTCTCTCTCTCTCTCTCTCTCTCTCTCTCTCTCTCTCTCTCTCTCTCTCTCTCTCCTCTCTCTCTCTCTCTCTCTCTCTCTCTCTCTCTCTCCCAAATAGAGTAATGCATTTCGTATATGAGAATAAAAATTATGAGTACATCTAAAATGGAATCCAACTCGCCAAAACAAATGAAAATAATCATTTTAATTATCATTGATACCATAAAATACCCACAACAGTATCATACAAGAAAGCAGACAAGGGCTCCTTTGGTTCCAGAGTAATAAATTCTGAGAGGACAAAACAGCACCTGAAACAGCTTTGACAGTGTTCAGTGCTCTAGTTTGACCCTTTATATATGTGGTCTCCAGCTGTACTCTCCTTATTAAATCACTGCGACACACGTATAAAACTATATATCTTTGTTTATAAAGACGTTTCGCCAACCAGAGGCTTTTTCTAATCCAATACAGAGGTAGTGGAGAGACTGAGGGAAGTGGAGAGAAGTTTCCAGGTGTTGGACAAGTGATATTCATCAACTTGCCTGTGTTATACGCTCTTAATATGTCAAAAGATTACGCTGAGCCTGAAAGGACGTAGAGCAAAAGCACCAAACGCTCATCAACATTAAGATAAAAACCACACTTCGGCTAAGACTTAAATCACTATAAATGTTCTTAGCTATGGGGTGACTTCGTACATAAAGATTTGACACATTCAAGAAGGAATTTTTTTTATGTAGAGCGCAATAATTACATGAAATGGAGGTAATAAACTCCGTGGCAAGCAACTTAACATTAAAGAGGGTAAGAACTTTTCGCAGAGCCGTGGATCACTGAAAAAAGGTGTGTATATCCCTGAAGCTACTAGAGCCAAATCAACATATCCTTCAAGAAGCAATTGGATAAATACTTTGCAAATATAGGATTTAACTAGTCGTAATCTACTTCGAGCAGAGGCCACTAACACCCTGGCAGAAGTGTTGTAAGTGGTTTTGATAACCAAGTTGAAGAGTGAGGGGCTTGTGCAACATTTGGGAGTCATCTTCCACCTTCTGTGTATTAAACTGAAGAAGTCACTGGTTGGCGAAACGTTTCCTCAATAAAGATTCTCAAAAGTTGGACGAGTGTCTCATTCTTCACCCTGGCAGAAGTTCCGGAACTATACAGGATTAGTGGTTGGCTTCAGTCCACGCTGAACATAGCGCCATTAGTGTTGTACCCAACACAGTGTCAAAGTAACAGTCTGAGTAGCTGCTGATGTGTACTGGAACTGGCTTAGACTTTCCATCAAAAATCTATATTTCATGTCTTACGAAATCGTAATAACACACCACGGAACGATAGTATTTGAGGTAGTCAGTTCCTCAGCCTGGAGAAGAGTTCAGTTCCAGAATCTGGAACGATATGAAGCCGAAGCATGAGAATGGAGTCTTAAATACTGTCGAAGGTGGCGTTACGGAGGACGGGATTCACTAGTAGAAGTAAGAAGGCAGGTTCCTCTGGGATCCAACCCTTCTTTCTCAATCATAACTAGAAGTTACTGCTGTCTCTGTATTTGACTGAAGAAACCTACTGTGTAGTCGAAACGTTTCAACAGTAAAGATACCCAGCTGTTGCACATGTGTCTTAATCTTCAACCTGTCAGTATTTTATACCATTTCCAACCAAACCACGGAAGGGGCGTGGGTTGAACCCATGGGAAGCGAGTCCTAATATTCCAGACCAGTGGCTTACACACTGGCCAGGAATTTTAAGACCCACTTGCCATGGGTTTAATACCCGCCCGTTTCGTGGTTTATATTTCACGTATTATATCCTGCACTCTTTTCTGAATAAAACACGGGAGTGTCCTCGACATTGGCAGAGAGACCCGTGGTTTGCAGTCTTTACTATACTTTGTGCCCAATACTCTCCAATATACGTAGTCTTTGTTTCTCTGATGAATAATACATATTCATGTCTCATCAGCCTGACGATATTGTTTATCATATTACTATTTTTTTTTGATGGCCAGCCGCTGTGATACATAAATGTGTTTGTTACGGTGATATTTGGTCGGGTTTTGCAGTGTACGTTAAAATGTAATGTGCATTGCCAGGTTATGGACAGGACTGCCGGGGCTTTGACCCCCCGAAACACCCTCCAGGTAATATTGTAATGAAGGTGTGTGTGTGTGTGTGTGGTGTGTGTGTGTGTATGTGTGTGTGTGTGTGTTTTTTTTTTGTGTGTGTGTGGTTGAGGACCATGTGAAGACGTGATGGCTAGAATGATTTTCTTCACAAGTTCAACTCATCAACAGACTTCCAACTCTCCCACACTCCGTTTCCCACACTCCCTCTCATTTATACTCCTCTACCACGTTCACCTCTCCCTCTCTGCCCTACTCGCCTCTCCCTCTCTGCCCCACTCACCTCTGCCCCTCTGCCCCACTCACGTTTCCCCCTCTGCCCCACTCACCTCTCCCTTTCTACCCCACTCACTTCTCCCTCTCTGCCCCACTCACCTCTCCCTCTCTGCCCCACTCACCTCTCCCTCTCTCCCACAGTTGCTGGAGGGGAACACCAACACATACCTGGCAAAGACCTCTCAGTTGAGTCCACCCATCATAGCGGCCAGGGTGAGGTTCGTGCCTTACAGCGACCACCCTCGTACAGTGTGTATGAGAGTGGAGATCTACGGTTGTCGCTACACTGGAGTCCTGCCACTGTGTTGTAGCAGCTGGTGTTTTTTTTGTGCAGCTGGTGCTGTGTTATAACAGCTGGTGCTACAATAGTTAGATTTGCTATACATTTCTACTGTTTGCTGTTAAATCTTGTATTAAATTTGTTTAAGGTGACTAACGAGCGAACTCCCTCATTACTGTCCCCTCAAGGGTCTGGTGTCGTACACGATGCCTGAGGGTGACCCCCGGGCGGAGACTACAACCTCCGTGACCTACCTACGATGGGTCTCGCAAGGGGGCTGGCTCTCTGGCGGTCTTAAAGGGCAACTGAGTGATGGTGAGACTGGTCACACCAACTTCCGTGTTGATGCTCTGGGACGAGGCAGAGGAAGTGATGCTGCGATTTACTAAGAGAGAGAGAGAGAGAAGAGAGAGAGAAGAAGAGAGAGAGAGAGAGAGAGAGAGAGAGAGAGAGAGAGAGAGAGAGAGAGAGAGAGAGAGGAGAGAGAGAGAGAGAACAAAAGCTCTTAACACAAAAGGCAATTCTCATTCAGCACAGTTTTTACAGCCCTCGTAAATTTGACAGCATGTTGGAGTAACGCAGCGTTTCGCTCGTTTTCGTTGCAAAACTTGCAAAAGGTGTTCAGATTCCATAAGTCACTCGTTAAGCTTAATTTTGGTTGGACACAAAGAAAAAGACTATCAGGTAGGTTACTTTTAAATAATAACAAAAGCAATATTTTTATTATTTATAAGAGAACTGGTGGTGAAGCGCAATTTATATCATTCTTAAAATTTAATGAAATGTTCTCCAAACTAAAAATGTTGATAATATTATATAATATATTTTAATATAAATAATATATATATATATATAAAATATATATATATATAAAATATATATAAAATAATATATATATATAAAATATATATATATATATAATATATATATATATATAATATATAAGGCCTCAACACTTAAAACAAATACTCAATCCAGCACTTGGTGAGGTTTCAGAGAGGCGCTGTCTGAACTCACCAAATTTTTCCAACCTGTGCCTGGCTGGCGGGTGTCCCCAAGGCCATCAGACCCTTTTTCTTTTGGTGCCTCATTGTGTGCCCCCCGGGAAAAAAGGATGGCGGAATCAGGCCCATTGCAGTGGGAAAACACCCTTCGGCGCCTAGTCGCCAAGCTGCAGTAAGAAGGGGAGTCAAGAGGCTGCTGCAATGCTGAAACCAACTCAGCTCGGTTTCGGCGTTCAACCAGGGCTGTGAAGCAGCTGCCCACGCAGCACGAGTTATATCAAAAACATGTCCTATAAAAAAACCCTTTGGGTTTAAAATTTGGGAAACTTTGCCAATGCTTTCAACTCAGTCAAAGGGATGCTGCTCTCCAAGCAGTTTATAGAAACTTCCCTTCCCTTTATCCCTTCATAGAATGTTTTATGTGTGACTTCCAAACTATTGTTTGGGGAAACCATGAAATTGACTCGTGTGAGGGCGTGCAACAGGGGGACCCTCTCGCCCCCTTTCTATTTTGTTTGGGTCATAAAGGAAGTCAGGGAGGCACTCTCCAGCGAGCTCAATATCGGGTTCCGGGACAAACGGAAACCTAAGCTGGCACAACAGAATCTCTCCTGGGGGAAACATCAGTAAAATTAAAGACATGGGAGAAAGCCTGGGCCTTTCTTTAAACCCCCACTAAATGTGAAATAGTTTCTACCAATCAACAGTTATCCAGAATAATTAACCGTTTTTACCCAGGAGCACGAGCCATTGATCCAGCCAATAGCACTCTCCTCGGTGCTCCTTTTGGGGTCCAATGCCATCAAATCTGATCTAGAAAAAAAGTCTCAGACCTCCGGACGTTTGGAAAGCAGGATGAAAGACATTGACACACACGATGCCTTCTACCTACCACCAGTGCCTGTCAACCCCAAAACTTACCTATTTTCTGAGATGCTCCCCAGCCTTCAGCAGTCCAAAACTCAAGGAATATGACTCTCTCCTGAAGGCCATGCTAGAGAGTGTATTGAATCTTTCCCTTGACGATGGACAGTGGTTGCAAGCCTCACTTCCGGTCAGGCTTGGAGGGCTAGGAGTACGCAGATCCTCCCAAATTGCTCAAACCAGCTTTCTATCCTCTTCCATTGCATCAAACAAGTTAATAAGACAAATTCTTCCTGACACCCTCAGTGACTCAGCAGGAATAAAAGGGACCCTAGCTATGTCAGTGCCATCACCGAAGGGGAGACTCTTGCTGCTCCAGCCCAAACCCTAGTGCAGCCTGGCTCACAAACAGTCAAGCTGGGATAGCCCAATTGCTAAAAAGGGTTTCTTGCCAACATGCTCAGGGCTGCAACATCAGATAGGGAGTTTGCCCGTCTCCAGGCGTGGGGTGCACCTCACTCCGGGACTTCCTCCAAACAGTTCCCATATCGGAAAAGGGGAAAACGCGACTCGACCCTAAACCCTCCGTATTGCAGTGGCTCTGCGCCTTGCTGCCCCAATTCACACAGAATATATGCGTATTTGCGGCGAAGTGCAAGCAGACCAATACGGTCTACATGGTCTTTAACTGTTCCAAAACCAAGGGCTTGGCATGCAAAAACACAATGAGGTCAACGACATCATTTAAAAGAACCCTTGCTACAGCTGGATGCCTGCCGAGAGGGAGCCCCGATCACTTGCAGCAAACAAAAACCCACAACCCAGCAAACCACCCCGACGGGATCACCATCTATCCCTTTGGGAAAAATGGCAAGCTCTTAGCATGGGACTATACCTGTGTGTCCACACTGGCTGCACCTATATCCATCACGTGTGGGGCGACAGGGAGGAGCTGGACCACAGGGAGGAGTAACAAGATCACAAGTACAGGGACATTAGCCAACAGTTATCAATTTGTCCCAGTGGATCAGAGACCTTGGGATCATAGGGAAAAAATGCCACACGTTTCCTTAAAGAATTGGGTTCCAGACACATCGACACCACCAGGGACCCAAGGGCAGCCACTTTCATGTTCCAGCGCCTCAGGGGTCGCCATCCAGAGGGGAAATGCTTGCTGCATACTTGGCTCACGTCCAGCCTCGGAGGGGCTGGAGAAATTCATCATCTTTGATAAAATTTTGCCATTGTATTCATGTTCATGTTTTTTTCTGTAAATGTATTTTGTTTATTAATAAATGTTCACATAGAATATAAATATAGGGGGTGGTAGGAGAAGAAAATATTCAAACAGCTCCGGGAGAAACCCTTTAGTTTTCCCTGAGGTATGTTTATTGTCTTCTCTGGGAAAGAGGGTCCCCATTCCAGCTATAGAGGTGTACTTCCCTATATTTTTTTTAATTATATATATAAAATATATATATAAATATATATATATATATATATATATATCAGGGAAAACTGGTCAGTTACAAGAACTGATTTAAAAATTAAGTCCCATCTAGTATCTTAAGTCCCATTTAGTATCTTAAGTCCCATCTAGTATCTTAAGTTCCCATCTAGTATCTTAAGTCCCATCTAGTATCTTAATCCCATCTAGTATCTTAAGTCCCATTTTGTATCTTAATCCCCTCTAGTATCTTAAGTCCCATCTAGTATCTTAAGTCCCATCTTTTATCTAAGTCCCATCTAGTATTTTAAATCCCATCTAGTATCTTAAGTCCCATCTAGTATCTTAAGTCCCATCTTGTATCTAAGTCCCATCTAGTATCTTAAGTCCCATCTAGTAATCTAAGTCCCCTCTTGTATCTTAAATCCCATCTAGTATCTTAATTCCCATCTAGTATCTTAAGTCCCATCTAGTATCTTAGTCCCATCTTGTATCTTAAGTCCCCTCTAGTATCTTAAGTCCCATCTAGTATCTTAAGTCCATCTAGTATCTTAAGTCCCATCTAGTACTTAAGTCCCATCTAGTATCTTAAGTCCCATCTAGATCTAAGTCCCATCTAGTAAACTTAAGTCCCATCTAGGTATCTTAAGTCCTATTTAGTATCTTAATTTTTCTCTTATACATTTAAAGATATATTTTTTTCCCTTTATGTGATATAAAAATTAATAATTTTGTACCAAAAGAACCTTAGAAAAAATTACCTAACCTTATTTTAACAAGCGCAATTTTTAAATTTTTGCCTAATCCAACTAAATATATTTTAGATAAGTTTACAATAATTTAATAATAAGCAAACACAATGAAATATATTTTTTTCTTTTAGGTTTAGAGTGATTTTGGAATTATTGCATACACAAATTTTAGCTTGCCTTATTCGCAAGAAGAGCGTTGCTATTTAAGCTAAAATCGCAAGTTTTTTACCTATTCTGCACGACACTGAAACTTTACTTAAATCCCAATTTTAGGTATTAATTATTCTTGTCTGGTGCAGCCCTAATTCCCTCCATTAACAAATCAACATTAATTTGTCGAATAATGTTGAGGACCCTACCGGTACATTGCCCTGATACTTAGGTCAGGGGGTAGGGTCTGAATGGTGGAGGGGCCCTGAACTTAAAGTTCGTAGAAGAGATTCGATCGTCTTCGTTGAGGTGTTCAGGAGTCATTGATGACAGGGAACTAATGAAACGTCACGTCGTTTATTCAGGATTTTATCCAGGGATAAGACACATTAGCAACACCTGGGTATCTTTGTTTCTAATTAAGATACATAGGTATTGCATTTATCTTATTTTGTAAGTATTGTATGTCAGTAATTAAAGTGAGTCAGAGGAACGTGATAGACAGAAATGTGAAAGGAAACACAGTGCACATCTTCAAGAGTAGGTATGATCAAGCCTTAAAGGCAAGAGAACAGTAAAGCCTGGTATGTGTTAAGTCAAACCAGGAGCTGTGATTCGACCACTGTAAACACAACTAGGCGAGTACATGGCATGCTGTAGAGGAAGAGATGGAGGCAAGCACCATACACAGTTACATGAGTAGGTATGACCAGACCCTGTTTGCCAGAACGTAGTGAAGAGGGTGGATAAAAGTGAAGAGGTGAGGGCTAAGGACTGTGATTCGACCCTCACTAACAAAATTAGGTAAGTACACATGCTACAATGTTTGTCATCCCTACACACACACACACACACACACACACACACACACACAACACACACACACACACACACTAGAAGTTAAGACCTCCGCTCGCACAAGCACATTATTATTATTATAATCAAGGGGGAAGCACTAAACCCGTAGGATTATACAGCGCCTATGGGGGGATGGAAGGCATTCAGGCTTAATTCAGGGAACTGGAGCACAGATCCAATTCCCTAGATCAAGAGCCCCTCACCAGCGTCAAGGAGCCTTCCTTGAGGGGCCCGCACAAGCACAGAGACTGAAGCCCTTCTCTCAACCTCACATGAAACACCACAAACCGAAT